TTCCCCTCCCTCCCTCCCCTCTTTTTCTTTCTTTCTCTCTCTCTTCCCTCTCATCTGCCAGACTTGTCATTTGGAAATGAGCATCTTGGAGTGCTTTTACTTAGTTGTAAAGCTTTACATAATTAAGCACTGTAGCCGGGCGTGGTGGCACACGCCTGTATTCCCAGCACTGGGAGGCTGAGGCAGGAGGATTGCTGTGAGTTCGAGACCATCCTGGGCTACACAGTGAGTTCCAGATAAGTCTGAACTACACAGTGAATCCCTGTCTCAAAAAACAAAACAAAACAAAAAAACAAATAACCACCGTACTAGTCAGCTTTCCTGTTACTGGGACACAATACCTGACACCCACAACTTAAAGGAAGAGAGTTTTAATTTGGCTTATGATTTAGGGGGATTCAATTCATGGTTAGCAGATGCCAAGGCTGAAACATTATGGCAGGAGAGTGTGGCTGAGCAAAGCTGCTTAGTTCTTGGTGGCCAGGAAGCAAAGTAGAACAGGGCCAGAGAAGAGGGGATCAGGTATCACATGTAGTACCCAGGGTTACACCTTCATGACCCACCCAGACACCCCAAGGAATATACTCCACCAATCCCCTCGGGTGTTTCTCAAGCCAGTCAAGTTGATATAATCAAGCTTAACCATCACAGGCACTTAACAGCCAGCAGAATATTATTAAAATACTCTGAAAAATTGTACTCAAAGATGTTGCTATTTGAAAGACTATTTTAATAAGCAAAATGGCATTAAAATTATAGCATCTACATTCTGACAAAATGCATAGAGTTTATTTCCTTAAACTAATAAACTTTGAAGTGTCTGTATCATAATTTATATATAAAGAAGCTAAAACATTTATCACCATGTGTTAAATCTTGGTAATTTAAATAGGATATAGTGTGGATCCTTAAGTTCAAAATACATTTTCCAGCCATGGATTTAGCTCAGTGGTTCTGCCGCCTGCCTTGCAAGCACAAGGACCCCGAGTTCGATCCCTGGTACCAAAAAAAAAACAAAAACAAAAACAAAACAAAACAAAATACATTTTCCATTGTAAGGTTCACCATTGTTTATAACTTGACTGAAAATCAGAATTTGCTCTGTGAGTGGGAATAAAAGCTGTTGACTAGGGGTGGAGATGGGGAAAGGAATTAACTACAAAGGGACAAGAGGGAGCTTTTTGGAGTTATGACAGCATGTACTTAAATTGATAATTTTAATTTAATATAATATAGCTTTGTAAACAACATTTTTTAAATGTAATTGTGCTTGCATAGGAGAGGCTTTGGGTATCACTTCTCAGCCTTTTGGCTAAGATAAGTGTAGGAGAGGCTTTGGATAAGAATGTGTATGTAGTGATACAGTGTTAGGTTAATAGGTCAGTAATAGCAAAGGAAAGAGAGGTTGTTGATTACTATTAAGGAGAAGCTAGACTAGATTCAGATGCTAGATTTGCTAGTGATACGAGGCTTCATAACTGTAAATATAATTTAAGAAATGAACACAAATATTTATTAAATTAACCTCCAAGAAAACATAGATGCATCAAAACTCATTTCATGGTACACTTGAGATTTGTGCTTCTCTCCGTCTACATTTTACCTGAGTGAAAGGAAGAAGGATTGAAATCTTTGCGGAAGTGTTTGAGGCTGAAGTAGCTGATATTAGCCACTCTGTCATTTCCTGTGACATGAATGCAAATGGGGTGAAGTGATCATGGATAGCTGGATGGCCATGTGAGAGAGCAAAACAGCAAGCTGTTAACAACTGGAAGATCTAGATACAGTTAGTTACTGTTCTTTCAATCTTTCTACATGTTTGAGATTTTTCATAGTAAAATATAGGGGGAAAGTTTTAAGTGGCTCAACCTACTTTGAAACTAAGAACTTTTTAAATTTAAACATTCTACTGTTTATTTTCTGTCCTCTTTTCAGGTTATTTTTACTCAGTCAACTTTTTCATGAGACTTTTCCACTCTCCTAATGAAACTGTCCTAGACATGAGGCTTTTATTGACCTTAGAAGCATGTTCCTCTTTTTTAAATAGCTTAGAAAATATTTTTAAAACAATTGACATATTTATGCTTTTAAAAGTATTATTTTATAATACTGACTGAAAACTTTTTTAAAAATTTGTTTATATCAATGAGATTCTTTGAAAAAGCAGGAATGTTCAAAGTTAAAATATACGATTTTAATCTGATGTACAAATTTAACCTTATTGTTATGTACAAACTTGATTACCAAATGGACTATGCAAAACATGTAAGTCAAATACTATTCTGAAGGCAGGACGTACTTACAGAAGTAATACAGAAGTAGTCATTTGAAAATAAGATGACCAATAAAAAAGTTCGGGCCAAAAGCTAGAAAAAAAATTGTATGTAGTAAAATTAAAGAGCAAACAGACAGCGGGCACCATTACCAAGTGCAGATTACTCCAGTGCATTGCTGAGAGTAAAAGATGGCTTTAAGGAGGCCAGTCTGGGAGTACCAAAGTAGGAGTCAGAGACCTAGGTTCTCGGATTCAGTTTCCTGATTATTGCTGTGGTCTCTGGACAGATCATTTAACCCTACAGAGTTTTCTGGATAGAAGAACACTTGACCCAAGACAGGTTTATTGTGGAGTCATGTAAAGTAGTAAGTGAAAAAGTACTCTGGAAATTTTATCCTGTTATATAAATATTAGCGTTAAAGTAATTTTCATTCTGACTTTAAGAAAACAGTACTGTAAAATATGACAAATTCTTTTCTGTGGCTTTGTTCTGATACTTTCAATTCTTCAGAATTTGCTTCAGAAAACCACTTTCATGGGCCAGGGATTTAGCTCAGCGGTTCGGTGGCCTGCCTGGCAAGCACAAGGACCCAAGTTCGATCCCCGGTACCACAAAACAAAAAAAAAAACACTTTCACCAAGTATCTCTTCATGAAGTGTCTTTTTTTACAAAGCACTCTACAAAGTACAACCCAGGATAGAACACAAACTGAATAGCTACCTACAGTCTTACCATTGAATAGACTTATGTACTGTTTATTAATTTTTTTTTTTGGGAAAATAGTTGCAAGCCAGGTGTGGTAGCACACGCCTGTAATCCCAGCACTCAGGAGACTGAGGCAGGAAGTCACCACAAGTTTGAGGCCAGCCTGACCTACATAACAAGGCCATCTTAAAAGCAAAACAAAATTTAAAAAGAGAGTTACAAGCTTATTCAGTGGCTTTATGGAAAAAGCATCCTTCTCAATGTTTGAGAAAAATGAATTGTTCTTTCATACATAATGATATTGATCTACAAAATGAATACCAGTAACAGTTTAAACTACAGTATTATATATTATGTATGTATGTGTGTGCTGTACTATCATTACTGCCAGTGTTTAAAATCTGAAACAAATAGCAATGGAAAACCTCCAGCGATGTCTTATGCCTATTTATATTTTATAATGAATTGAAAACTATGGAACTTTTAGGCAGGCTTGGTACTGAACTGCAGACCAAGAGTGTGTTCTGTGGTTCTGGTAGTCACACAGAAAGAAAGAAGTAATAGAACTGGAAGAGGTGTTAAGAAAGGTGTTCAAATAGTCACCAGTGAAAAAACATTTCAAGATGAGGCCAAAAATACGTGTTTATTTGATTTGAAAAGATGAAGGAGAAATGGAATGAAAACTAATTTTCCTACGTAATTACAAAAACTAAAATTAGGGTCACTTTTCAGAGCTGGAAATAGGTAACTTGAATTCAACTAGAGAAATACTTCCTTTCTTGATTGAGAACCCACTAACTTAATCACCTTTTAGTCCAAGATAAAACTATAAACACACCTGCCTGGCAAACGCAAGGTCCTGAGTTCAATGCCCAGTACAGATAAAAAAAAAAAGCTATAAGTCAGTTTAGAAGAGATGACAGATCACAGAGGTTTAGTAGAGCCACCTGGAAATGAAGGCATTCACATGCCCTGGTTCCTTCCAGCAAAAGCATCTATCCAGTGGGCCCATCGGCATAGAGCACCCCTGGGTGAAAACAGTGAATCCCTGCTCATCTACCTCCTCTTAGAGGCAACCCAGCTCCTCTCTAGGCCCACTTGGTTTTCACTTCTGCTGTACCATTTACTTCAGGATATAGTATGACTACTAAACATGCCCGCATAAGAGCCCCTTCCTGGTAGCCAAGGATCATGTCTTTGTTTTTACTGAAGCCCCTGCCTAGTACCTGGCAAAAAGTAGGAACATCCAGTAAAGGTTCTGCTTATGGTCTGACCCAACAGGGCTTTGTTCAAGTTTCCAGCTTCCGTGTCTACACATTAACCATAGCTCTTACTGAAACCCTCTCCCTGATTCTTAACACAGCCAATTAGTGCAATAAATGGCTCCACCACTCCCTAGCTGTAATCTTCCTAGACCCCTTGAACCTCTGTCTTACTGTGTGGGCCTGATGATGTTCCCAGCTCATAATAAGACACTCAAGAACTGGAAGCTGCTGTTAGTATGTTTCCTTAAGAACTTCATTCGGGGCATACATTATGGGTGTCATAAAATGAATAAAACAGACCTGCCTTTAAGGACCTCGCAGCTAAGAAGAAAAGAGTAAGCAAGTGCACGTGGAAGTGACCTGTGGAGTGTGCCAATGGGACAGGAACGGCACAGAGCCCGTGGGGAGTTCACACGCTGGCAGATGATCCATCTGTGGTCAGGTACAGCCAGCATTGATTTCCAGTCATCAGCCTGGCCATCTTAATATTCACTTAATACAAGATTATTTTTATTGTAATTCTATGTTATTAATTAACTGCTGCATGGATTACAAGTCAGCACAAGTGATGCTGAATAGAGAAAATAAAAACTAGGTAAGGTTATACTAAGAGAACTGAGTGAGAATAATAATTAGATTTTTGAATTACCTGTTGACTTTTTAAAAACATATCCACAACCCATGTCATTAGTATTTCTATTATAATTTCATAATCTAAGAGTTTCATAAGAATTGGGTTTAATAATGTGATGAACCTGGTATCATTTAATCCTACTATTAATGATGTGCTGCATTCAGAGGGACATTTGGGACTAATTTCTCCATACTTCTTGCTTTCCAAGGCTTCCAACAAGGGAGGAATGCAGAGGATGAACACAGAGTTGGCTTTGAACTAATTTTCATGGTGGTTTTTTTTTCTGCAACTTTAAACAAAAGAAAAGTCCTGAGAAGAGCAGGTAGAAGGAAGTAGATGACATTACTACCTCTTCAGGAACAGCAGGGGAGATGAGGACTAATATCTGCTTTGCATCTTTTTTATCCCATTTAATATCCATTTAATGTTTCTGGTAAAAGAATATAATAGCCTTTCAGATGTAATTATTCAAAATTTAAAATTATCCTTAGTTACTTCAAAAGATTTTCATCTGTGGGTCATATAAACTGGCACATCCATGCTATGGACTAGCCAGTAATAAAAAGGAATGCACTGTTAATACATGAAACAACCTTGATAAATCTCCAGAGAATTAAGCTGGGGGGAAAAAAGCCAAGCCTAATGGCATGGTGATATACACCTATGATCCCAGCGCTTGGAAGGCTGTTACAGAAGGATTGCCACAAGTTCAAGGCCAGCCTGGAATACATAGTGAGTCTTTGTCTCAAAAAGCAAAAAAAGACCAAAATGTTATATACTACAATATGATTTCATTTATATGAAATCCTTCAAATGACAAAGTCACAGAAGTGAAGAACAGATTAGTAGTTGCCAGGGTTAGTAGAGGATATGATGAGAGGGAAATTAGGATGGCTATGAAAGAGCAACATAAAGGATCCCTATGATGAGAGGACATTCGACAGCTTGACTGTATCAGCGACAATATCCTGGTTTGGTGTTATGCTACAGTTTTGCAATGTGTTACTACTGGAGGAGACTAGATAAGGGTGTATTAGATATTTGTGGTGTCTATGGCCATACCACCCTGCACGTGCCCGATCTCATCTGATCTCAGAAGCTAAGCAGGGTCGGGGCTGGTTAGTCCTTGGATGGGAGATGCTTGTCTTGTGTTTTTTACAAATGCATGTGTGTCTATAGTCATTTCAAAATAAAAAGTAAAATTTTCAAAAATAGCCACAGTAAATTACATGTGGATACCCACATGATTTATGGCTTAAGCACCAAATCTTTAACAACACAATAGTGCTGCAAGAAAAGGTAGCTTATAAAGAACTATATTTTTTTTGCTACTGTACAAAACTTGCAACACATGGACAAGAACAGAATGAGGTATTAATAAAATAAAGATAACTACTACTCAGTGTATTTCATTCTTGGGGTTTTTCTGAATTTGTGTGTATTTTTATTTGATTCTTATCATACTTGGGAATATACAGTATGTGTGGTCCTGCATTATGCTTTGTTGGATTTTCTATGCGAAGGATTTCCCTAGATCTTTAAAATTGTTCAAAATCAATTTTCATTCAGCTGCACATCCCATCATATGGATATCCTATCATCTGTGTCATTGTCTTAGATGTATCTTCTATTTTATATGATAAATGTCATTATACATAAATCTTCTATTTTTTTCCTGAAGGTAGGCTTTTTTAAAGTAAAATTACTAAGTCAAAGCACATGAGTCTTTTTAAGGCTGTTTGATTTATTTACCAGATTGTTTTCTGGAAAAAAATAATGCTGGTTTATATTCTTACCAGTAACCATGCGAGGGTAGATAAGATGTACGACAAGAAGAATTAGAAACAGCATAGTGTTAATAGAAGGTAATTTTATCTTTATCTAAAACAGGGTTTTTCAGTCTGAGCACTACTGACATTTTGAGCCAGATAATTCTATGCTGTGGAGTGTTGCCCTGGGCACTATAGGATATTTAGCAGTATCCCTACCTTCTGCCTGATGCTGTGAAAATAAAAAATACCAGTATCTGCAAACTTCATGTCTGTGTATGGTGTGTGTGCATACACACGTGTGTGTGTGCACGTGTGTGTTACTGGTGATTGAACCCAATTTTTAAGTTTGAGACAAGGTTTCACTAATTGCTAAGTTGGCTGTGATGAGCTTGAGTTTATGATCCTCCTGCCTCAACCTCCCAGTGTTGGGATTATAGGTGTGTGCTATCATACCTGGCTCTCCAAATTTTTAAGATAAATGTCCCCTTGAGGAGCAAAATTGCTCGTGGTTGAGAACCACTAATCCAGAGGTTTAAATGTACAGTGAAGCACTTAATCTTAAACTTTCTCTGGTGTATACAATTGTTCTGAAGCTAGCCTCTTTTTTTTATGGAGTATTAAAGTGTATATTGTTTACAGAGTAAAATAGGCCCATCCTTTCTGTAAGGCTGTTTAAATGACTTGGGTACTCCACAGTGAGAATCTTTCTTGCTAATAACCTGCCAGGTATCCTGATTATAAGAGGAAATATAAAGAAGCAACAATACTTCCACGTGCTTTGCCCTATAAAAACTAATTGCGTTGAAATTTAGGATGGTAGTTGCACATGCCCGTCAATATACCTAGCTTTGATCTTTGTCTTCTGAATAAGAAGGGCCTGACAGAATGAAAATGAGTTTTGTTCTCTTGACTTTCTGCGTAAAGATGGAAAGGAAAGGAATGGACTAGAATTTTTGTTAATTGGGTCCTAAAGTTGGGTCCTTAAAAGTCCTCCAAGGTTTATTTTAAGTGGCAGGAACTCCGAGTTGAAGATTTGGCCCCCAAATTTACAGCTGGCTGTACTCTCAGTTCGTGAAGGAATGCCCTAGTGCAGAAGGCTCACCTGGGTTTCTATATTTCAAAACACCCTGGGCTCCTGACATCCAGACTGTCTTTCTGATGTACAACCTACTGCACCCAGATCTTCTAGTTGCTCAGTTCAAGTTAGAATTTCTGAAATTCAAAGAACGCATTCTTCACCTTAGTTTTAAAAATGAAGAGCACACAAATACATTATTGAGAACATAAACTCACTCTCCCTAAATGACGTGAAACTCACTTAAGCCTAGCTTTCAATAAAGACACTAGCCTTGAAAGCTCTGATGTTAGCTCGCTGTTCGTAAGAGTAAGATTAAGATTAACCTATTATAAAGGTTAGTGTAATGTTGACTTTCTGTACTAGCTGTTTCTTTTCTGTTTGGTTCCTTAGGAGCAGTCTCACAGGTGCTGGATAGCCTGGAAGAGATTCACGCACTCACAGACTGCAGTGAAAAGGACCTAGATTTTCTACACAGTGTTTTCCAGGATCAGCATCTTCACACACTGCTAGATGTAAGTCTTGGGGTTTTTTTGTTTGTGTTTTGTTTTGTTTTGTTTTGGTGAGGTGAGTATTTAGCATCACTTCTTTTCATTATGTTTATTGGTACATTTTAGGTGTACAATGCAGTTGCATTCATCATTAGGAACTTGTACCTTTCCATGATATATCTTGGTTCTTATTTTTTCCCCATTCACTGGCCCTCTCTTCAGCCCGTCCATGCCTCCCTGTTTACAGAGACTTTGTTTCCATTTTTTCCTAGCATAACTTTTTACTTTACGCTAATTCTCAGATGTCCATTATAACAATCCTTTTTCGCTTGCCTTATATCTATGAGAAATACAGGAAAATCATCCATTGAAGGAACAGTGGAAAAAATATATATATGTTCATAAATTATATATGCATGCAGGTGATGTATGAGCTTTTTAAGAGTGCAGCACAACTATAATTTATCAAAATACAGTGGACCCTTGACTTATGAACCTTGACTTGCTTCCAAGACCTGGTTGTAACTCAAGTAGGTTGTAAGTCAATTCAGTTGAGCTGTGGATGTTTACCTGGGTACACACTATAGATAACAAGAGACAGATGAATCTTCCATTAACCTAATTAACCCAACTTGTTTGTATGTTGGGCCAGTTGCAACTTGAAGGTCTACTGTATTTTTATTCTGTTAGAAGAATCCACTGATTTTAGCTGTGATTGCCTTTTTTTTTCTTTTTGGTACCGGGGATTGAACTCGGCACCTTGTGCTTGCAAGGCAGGTGACAGAAGCACTGAGCTAAATCCCCAGCCCTGTGATTGCTTTTTATTGACTTTAAATATTGTTTTGGAACATCATGCCTTAAACATAAGTATAGAAGAGAGAAAATAAGATAGTGTGTCTGACCATATTCACAGATTTCATGTTTTACAACAGTGGGTTTCATAGACTCAGTGTGCTTTGCTTAAAAGAGTATATTCCATCATATGACACGATCCATTGACAGCAGATTGCAATCCAGAGAAAAAACAAAAGCTGATCAATTATGTCTGCCCTGCGTTCGGTTCAGTCACAGTTTAAATAAAATACCTTAGACAACTGGTACACTTCAGCAGTGAAAACTTTCTTGAGTGTACAAGTTGGTCATTTTACAAGAAAAACCCTCCTAAATGAAAGAGCAGTATTTGCTTTGGGGTACCTAGAACTGATTGGTGCGATTCATCCACCATATGATACAAATTCCACCAAGGCAAAATTTTCCGGAGTGTGCTCTGAGGCAGCAATGATTGTTGCCCTGGAGGCAAGGGGAAGTAGATCTTAATTGACTGGCTAAACTGTTTATTGACTAAATAAGTTAGGGAGATGCTACATTCTTTAGTCCCTTTATACAGATTCACCGTGGGCATTATTATATCCACAGCTCTGAGAAGTCCTTTGTTAACAGCTTTTCTCAAACTAACTAGGGCACAGATCTTTTATTCACAGTTCTGATGAGCCCTGTTTGGATGAGGACCAATTTGGGGAAAACTAAGCTAAGAATGTTATGTTTCAACTTCACACTGTGTAGTTGTAGGTTTCTAACGGTTGCCTCTTTCCATATTTCCTTTTTCCTTTCCTTTTTTGGTCACTTTAAAGTAGTCATCAGATTTCCATAGTTAGTTTGGGTTTTTTTATGTAGTGCTGTATATGTTGATTAGGGTTGACTAACTGCTGTAACATGCAATTCTAAAATTGGAGTTCATATCAGAATAAAAGCTTATTTCTTGCTCAGCTCACAATCCAATGACAGTAGATAAGGGAAGTTCCAGAGTCATTCAGGGACCCAGGCCTCTTCCATTGTGTGCCTCTGCTGTCTTCCAGTGTCTTAGAATCTTCTGCCGTATCCCTTGCACCCAGCCAGCATAAGAGAAGAGAACATGGAGAACCTTTCAGGATCAATGCTGGAAATGGGCTACATCACTTTTGCCCACATTTTATTGGCAAGTATTAGTTACATGCCTAACCTAGATGCAAGAAAGCTGGAAAATATAGTTTAGAGATATATTCAAGAAGATAAGAAATTCTATCTCCTCTTTAGTGTAATTTATCTGAAGTAGTTTGAGAAACATTTATTTTAAAGAACTATTTGCTTTCCTTGGACCCCAAAAAGCCCTTAAAATTCATTCTATTTTGTGGATAGCTCAATAGCATTCCATTATCACAATCTTTATCAAAAGCAGCAGCTACATTATTGTTATTGTTATGTGTTATTTGAATTATACTGTTTTTTCAGCTTTAATTGAGTTTAGTGGTACATTTTAGGGATACAGTACTGTTACATTCATTGTTGGGATCTTGTACCTCTACATGACAGGTCTTGGTTCTCATTTTTTCCCCTTGTCCCTGCCCTCCATTCACCCCCTCCTCCCCTCCCCATCTACTGAATTATACTTTGACTTGTATTGGCCTTTCTCTGGTACCAGAGATCAAACTCAGGACCTTGCGCTTGTGAGGCAGGTGGTAACACCACTGAGCTAAATCCCCAGCCCTTCGTTGGCTGTTTAAATACCTAGTGCTCAGTATAATTGTTTCATATGTTGTTGAAAATTTTCATAATTGTGACTTTCCCACAGAAGCCCAGGAGAACTAGTTAGTGGGATATTTAGAAGATACTGTAGCAGTGTCTAGAGATTTTGTTTATTTCAGTATAGTCAGTGCTTAGGTCATTGCTAAGTAGACTTGCTGGGTTTTGTTGTTTTCTTTTAGATCAAGGACTTGTAATTTAAAGGCTCCAAGAAACCTAAATTGTTGTAAAAGTTGTATTTTTCTTACCAAAGCAAAAAGGTACATGTTTTAGTTATTTTCTTGTGGCTGATACAAAATACTCAACACACACAAGTTAAAGAAGGAAAGGTTTCTTTTGGCTCACAGTTTGTAAAGTTTAAGTCCATAGTCAGCTGGTTCCAAGACAAGGTGACATGGCAGAGGCTTGTTTCAGTCTACATTTAAGCCCATGTTGAGAGGGTCTGCATGGTGGCTTAGCAAGACCCTGTCTCAAAATAAAAAATAGTAAATGACTGGGGATGTAGCACAGTATGAAAGCTCTGGGTTCAAGAAGAATTAAGATGTACTAAGTACATGTACCTACTCCCTAAGGTGAATGTACTAATAAAATAAAGTCAATTTAAGAAAAAATTTTAAATAACAAAATGATAGAGAAATTGATTGATTTTAGTAGGTGTTTAGTTTGCCTGGGCTGCCAAACCAAAGTGCCACAAATTGAGTAGTTTAAAACAACAGAAATTTAGCCAGGTGTGGTAGCACACACCTGTAATCCTAGCACAAGTGGGAGGCTGAGACAGGAAGATCACATATTCAAGCTCAGCCTGGGCAATTTAGTGACTTATCAAGACCCTGTCTCAAAATTGAACATTTTTAAAAAAGGACTAGGGAATACAGCTCAGTGCAAAAGCCCAATACTGGAGAAAACCACAAAAACCCAAAAATGTTTTCCAACAGTCTTGTAAGCTAGGAAGTCCTACATCAGGGAGTCAGCAGCCTCCAGTGACCCCAGGGAAGAATCCTTATTTGCCTCTTCTAGCTCCTGGTGGTCCCTGACTGTTCTTGGTGTTCCTTGGATTATAGACACTGTCACTCCGGTTTCTTCCTCTGTGTTTTGTGTCTGTGTCTTCACATGGCCTTCGAAGGGCACCAGCTATCGGATTTAGAACCTGCCCTAATCCATATGACCTCATTGTAATTAATTACATTGAAAACCACCACTTCCAGATAAGGCCACATTTTTAGTTTCTGGGTAGATGTGAATTTTGAGGAGATAAAATTCAGCCCAGTAGAGTATGGAAAACTGATTTTACCCTGGGTTAATTAATTCTTTAGGTTTAACTGCAAATTATACCAATCTAATATAAAATAATGAAATGTTACTCTTCTGGACAGTCATAGGACTTTTTTGAAAATTGGTGTTATGGTGTGGTATGATTTTTTTATGATATATTAAATCAGTGAGTTGGTCAGTTGATGGACAAGTTTCTTTGTTTCTGGTTTTGTTTTTTGGTTTTTGGTTTTTGGTTTTGTTTTTGTTTTTTTGGTACCGGGGATCAAACTCGGGAACTTGCACTTACGAAGCAGGCAGCAGAACCACTAAGCTAAATCCCCGGCCCAATGGATAAGTTTTTGATAGTTTTATTTTTAAGATAAAAAGCATTTTGCCAATATTATTTAGTGATAGATAATTCTGTCTTCTTGATTTTTTGTAGAAATTTTCCTTTTACAGAATAAATGTTTGCTCTGTAAGTCAACAATGTTATAAAACATTGTTAAATGACACATTTATCTCTCTGCCAAATTTTGACAACCAAGTTTTTTATGACCATCTGTTATACTTCTGAACAGCTGTTAGCATTTGTTACACACTGTGTTTCCATAGTAAATATGATGCCCCTACCTAATTAAGATTATTTTTGCAGCAAACCTTAAAATTGTTTTCTAGAACTGTAATCAATTATTAGAGCAAAACAGCAAAACAATATAGCTGTAACAGCAACTTAATTTAGAAGTCTTTGTAATATTAATTTATAAGTAGACTTCTATAATAGATTAATATTTTTAAATATTGCATTAGAAATGAACTGGTGCATGGGATCCAACATATTTCATGTGGCTGACATCTTTATTATAATGTTTCACTGAGAGTCTTTTCTATCTGGCTGAAGTTAGCCCTGGAAAACTCTTGATTTACTGTTTTGCTTTTCTGAGATGACATTAACTTAATGGTCATATTTGGAATAGCATATTTTTAGAACTCATATGTTTCCTAAAGGGAAAAAAATGGAAGTTTTACAGTAATCTGATGATAATGTTTTTGAGGAATTTGGGGTCTGAGAAATAAGTTAATATAGTTTAGATGTCTAAAGAGAGTGCTAGTAGGGAAATGCCAAAGCTAATTTTTCTCATGAATTTGTAGTCCAGAGAATTTTGCACTTAAATGTCTCAAATAGCAAGGCCTATCTGAGGACTTCAGAAGGATGA